TGAAATACTATTGCGGTCAAGCAAGATCAGTGTTTCTTTCTTGAAACATTCTGATGGGAGGGGGGGGGGGGGGGGGAAAGTAGGACTTGAATTTCCGGTGGGGTCGGGGATAAAGTAGCGTATATATTTTTAATATAAATAATAGGGCCTAATATTTTTTTTTCATTTCGTTCGGGGGTGGGGTAGGAGACGTGATCTTTCTCTCCCCCCCCCTCCCCTCCCCCGAATTTCGAGTTTTCTGATCGAATATCTGAGTGTTGAAGTGGGGGGTCAGTATTTGAAGGGAAAATTCAAGGATGATGTAGTGATATCAACGCCGCCCTTTCGTTCGTCGTTTATCTGAACACATTAGGATACTAAATTCAACTGTCAATGCAGTTTTGCTGTATGAACCAGAGACATGGAGAGTCTTCAATACAAGCACTATGAAAATACAGACCTTCGTCAAAAAAATGTCTTAGACAGATATTGAAATTGAAGTGGCAGGACAAAGTGCTAAACATAGAATTATGGAGCAAAGCTAGGCAGGAGCCTATGGGTGTGCAAATAAGGAGGAAGTGGCGCTGGGTAGGACAAACGCTGCGAAAGGCTCACCCAAATGTGACACGCCAAGCGTTTGAGTGGAACCCCCCAGGGTAAGCAGATGAGAGTGCGCCCAAGACAGACCCGGGGGCGGATTCTTCTCGAAGAACTGAAGCCAACAGGGATGTCTTGGGAGACGGCAAAATTAATAGCCGAGGATCGGATGAAATGGAAGGTTATGGTCGAGGCCACATGTTCCACAAGCAGCAAAGAGGACGAAGTCAAAATAGAAGTCAAGTTATCAGAACACACACAGGCATTATATTTTAAAAGCGCCAAAATGTTTTGTATTACAATGGTGCGGATTGGTTATGTGTTGGGAATAAGATCCAGGAATGGCGCTTAGCTGGACGCTTCAGGGAAGAAGAAAACAGGCAAGGCCAAGGGAGATGCGGAGACGCCAGGCAGAAAAGCTACTAATAAAGGCAGAACTACCTTGGAAGATAGCAAAGATATTTCCAAGAGAATGGCAAAAGTTGAAAAAGCCTTACATGGCGGGTCCATGTGTTTTTGGCAGAAACGGGAAAAGATTATGTTAATATGTTTAAAAATACGTACAAATATAAATAAAACAGATGTAGGAAATAAAATTAGTGTGGAGACGTATTGAATAAATACCTTGAACCAGGCTGGGCGTAGGTTGGCGCATCTCTTGGCGTCTCTCAAAGACTGGGTTACCTCCCCTAGCTTTTTCCAGCATTGAGCGCGATTACCGTACAGGAGGCTGAGGCTAACATTGGCTCTACCTGGAGAAATAGGTTCAAATGGTTTCTTTCAGACATTTTTCTACAACGGAGGAGAAGGGAGCACTTGAAACTTCCGTTGTGGGGTGGGTGTCGAGCAATTGTTTAGGTATATAGCTTGGATATACATAATGCATTTTTTTCTATTTCGCCCAGTTTCTTCCAGGCATCTCTTCGGGCGGAAAAGTCTGGAAGAAACAGACTAGTGGACAGGTGGGCGAGCTCTGAGTGGGGGAGGGTCTCTCGGAGAGTTACCTGCAAGAAACTCTAATAACAAAATTACTCCAATCACCTCACGCCTTCGAAGAGGAGGCTGAGTATTCCAAAATTAGCTTTAAAAATCGCAGTGAAAAAAGCCTAAGTTCTAAACTGACAATCAAACAGTTTAACTCATTTAAGACTGGTGTTAAAATGTAAGCTTACCAAGCAAACAACTTACTCTTTTTCATACATTTTTATTAAATTGGTTGTCTTAGAAACAAATGTAGACAATAGGAGATAAATAAACCAGAGTTCTCACATATTTTTTTTTTTAGTTTCGAGGAAAATGTGTGACATTTAATGTAAGCTAACAGATCATTCACTCAAAATGTCTCAAAACTAGAATGCAAATATTGTTTGAACGATTTAGCATTCTATTTTGAATTATTTCAATATTAGAATGAGATTTAGAAAGTTATCCTTATCGAGATTATGTATTTTGTTATTTGTCGTTGTGCGCCTTCATGCAAATGTATTAGTCAACGTTCCAGAACAATGACTTCTCACAAAATAATGTTTACAAATTTGAATACCTCACCTGTACTTTCTAGAGGGAAAAATTCGTTAGCTTCAAAAGCTTCGATAGCTGCACTATAAAGTTCACAGGCCTCTGCGTATCTTCCATCTCTGTAGGCACATTTGGCTTGGCGCCTCTTCTCCAACCACGGGTGTAGGAGACTCGCTCGATCTGTTGATGTTAAAGGGATGTTAGGATACTTTAAACACGAACACTAGCCCATTATAGGAGGGATGTTAGGATACTTTAAACACGAACACTAGTTCATGACTGGAGGGATGTTAGGATACTTTGAACACGAACACTAGTCCATTATAGGAGGGATGTTAGGATACTTTGAACACGAACACTAGTCCATTATAGGAGGGATGTTAGGATACTTTGAACACGAACACTAGTCCATTATAGGAGGGATGTTAGGATACTTTGAACACGAACACTAGTTCATGACTGGAGGGATGTTAGGATACTTTAAACACGAACACTAGTTCATGACTGGAGGGATGTTAGGATACTTTAAACAAGAACACTAGCCCATTAAAGGAGGGATGTTAGGATACTTTAAACACGAACACTAGTTCATGACTGGAGGGATGTTAGGATCCTTTAAACACGAACACTAGTCCATTATAGGAGGGATGTTAGGATACTTTGAACACGAACACTAGTTCATGACTGGAGGGATGTTAGGATACTTTAAACACGAACACTAGTTCATGACTGGAGGGATGTTAGGATACTTTAAACACGAACACTAGTTCATGACTGGAGGGACGTTAGGATACTTTAAACACGAACACTAGTTCATGACTGGAGGGATGTTAGGATACTTTAAACACGAACACTAGTCCATGGAATTTATATAGTAAACCAGTAGCGTAGCGGGGGGGGGGGGGGAGGGGGGGGGGGGGGCGCCAAATTGAAAGTTTGTCACCGGGCGCCGGGAAGGGTCGCTACGCCTCTGCCCGGTGCGGCACTTAATGGTGTCACCCGGCGCCCGGTGGGAAACTTTCAATTTGGCGCCCCCCTCGGGAGCAAAAAATTCAATTTGCATCCCCTCCTCAAACTTTCGATTTGCACCCATTTTGACACCCGACCTCGCTACGCCACTGTAGTAAACATATATTTTTACTAGTGTCTGCCCCCCCACCCCGGAAAATTTAGACCTCCCCCCCACCCCGGAGAAAAAAAGTCTGGAAGAAACACTGGACAGGAGGAGGGACGTTAGGATACATTAAACAAAGACAAAAACCAGGCCCTTTACAGAATCCAAACTGTTGATCTAATAGGGACATTAGGCGAAAGGTTAAGCCCAGCCACTTGTGACCTAGATCTATATCTGATGTCTAGATATTGGAAAATTTAAACGCACGTAATTAAAAAAAAAAGAAAAAACTCTTATCCGACTCTAGGGTTAAGGTTAGAGTTCAGGTTAGGGTTAAGTGTAGGGTTAGGGTTAAAGGTATCAACATAACAGAGCTGTTGATGCAAATTATATGTCCCAATTTCACTCTTCCATAAAATTATAAGTCAAGTTTCATATTCTCTTATATATATATATATATATATATATATATATATATATATATATATATATATATATATATATATATATTATTTATTTATTTATTTATTTATTTATTTATTTATTTATTTATTTATTTATTTATTTATTTATTTATTTATTTATTTATGGCGGAGGTTAAATTTTCCACAAGATCCGACTTTTTTACGGTAACATTCAAAACACTTACTGTTTTGTGACATCCTATATTTTTACACTATATACAGTCTTGTGTCCATAGTTGTTTGATCTATACAAGTAGATACGCCTTGTGGTGTATTATGACCTGGTCAGTAAGACTAGTCAGGTCAAGCTGATTTGTCTGGCGTAGAGTACGTGTCGAGTAGACAGGCCCAGTAAAGTTGACTGATTAAGTTGACCTACCGATGATTGTTGACATATTGACTTGGGCTGTGACTTGACTGTTTGTTCTGATAGAGGACGAATTGGTTATTATTAGGTGAAAGAAAGACGACATGGGCAGATTTACAATTTACATCTGATAAATAGTGTACACTTGTAAAGCCTGCTAAGTCAACTGACACTTTTCACGATAACCCCGTAGGCCTACCCTGTTCTCCACCCACAAAGTACCCTGTTCTCTATACTTTTCTAGGTACTCGCCCGCCAAGTGAACAAATGCTTGCCTTTCCCCCTTATTCTTTTTCTAAAACGCAAAAAAAAAAAAAAAAAAAAAAAAAAAAAAAAAAATATAAAAAAAAAAAAAAAAAATCACATGCCATGAAAAGAATGGATTCTTATTTGACACAACAGCTTCATCAATAATGGCACACTTTTTGTTCTATCTATCGCAGGCATAGTAGACGAGGCGGACTCAATCAATGACTTTCTCACTGACTGGTACAGGATGACATTTTTTAGCTCATTGATTTGCTCTTTGTCGCAGCTATCGGAGAGGAGACGGACTTAATCAGTGACGTTCGGGACAGAGTTTCTTCCAGGTATCTCTTCGAGTGGGCGAAGCCCCCCCCCCCCCCCCCCACGAAATTTTTTTTATCGCCCCCCCCCCCCCCCCCCCGAAATGAAATTTATATAATTTATATAGAAAATATATACTTTTAACAGTGTCCGAAATTTTTTTACCGCCCCCCCTCAACGAAATGAAATTTATATAATTTATATAGAAAATATATACTTTTAACAGTGTCCACCCCCCACTCCCGAAGAAAGTCTACCGCCCCCCCCCCCCCCCGAAAATTTCAAGTGCCCCCCCCCCCACCCCGGAGAAAAAAGCCTGGAAGAAACACTGGTTCGGGACATGAAAGCCAGCACTAGCATAGGATGGTTTTTAAGCGAATATATTTTTCTTCATACGTAAATGCAGTGGCGTCACAATGGGGGGGGGGGGGGGTTGAGGTCAGAACCAGAGGCGTAGCGGGGGGGGGGGCGAAATATGTCCCCGGGCGCCGACCTTAGGAGGCGCCAAAATGGGTTGGAAAAATAAATTAAAAGTTTGAGGGGGGGGGTACTAATCAAAAGTTTGAGGAGGGTGCAAATCAAAAGTTTGTCCCTGGGGTCGAAAGGGTCGCTACGCCTCTGGTCTGAACAGTGTTACTTCCTTTCGGAGGTGACACCATGACAAAAATCGTAAACAATATTTTATCCAGTTAAGATAACAAAATCGTGGGGATAGAGGGGTGACACCCAACCGAAAATGCAAAATCATTGAAGAGGGTGGGGTGACACCCTCAGTTACCGCACCGGGTGACACCCGACCTACTGTCGCCACTGCGTAAACGATCTATAGCCTCCACCCCCTCACCCGAAGAGATGCATGAAAGAACACTTAAACCCTAATAAGGGTTAAGCGATTATTATTTTTTTTTTTTTTTTTTAACAAGCATTACAGAAACTTGAAATGTATATAGGAATCACATTATCAGCAGCTAATATAAGCAGCCGAAATAGCTCAGTTGGGAGAGCGTTAGACTGAAGATCTAAAGGTCCCTGGTTCGATCCCGGGTTTCGGCAAGTAGTTTTTTGGCTTTCACTGCTCTATTTTTAGTATAATAATATACATAGGCATAGAATGTAATTTTAACGAGGCTTATGAAGGCCTTAGGGTTTATCTAGTAATTCTAAATATAATAATCTGCTATGTCAGTGGGAAAATACAACTCTAAAAATAGTAATTAATAGTTATGGGATTTTCCGAAGCTTTTTTTTTTTAACTTGTTTCATTTTACTGAATGTAAATAATGAAAAAAAGTAGCCCAAAGCTACAAAAATAATCGCTACCAAATAAAACCAAATTTTTCTTTGAAAAATATAGAAGATTAATATGCGTTTAGAATGTTTACAAACTGCACCCAGACCAAAGAAAAAAAAAACACTGTGATAGGTTAACGATTTTTTGTATTGACATTGTGATCCTGTCTTAAAAACTTAGGCACTAATGAATAAATTATGCCCTAATACTTACTAATAGTAATACTAATATTATAAATAACCTACAGCGATAAACAAGGGCCTATAGAATAGATAGTTTAAAGATCTAATTAGTCCCTAACCAGTTCAAATAATACCATTTTTACTATTAGGCTACATTTCAATATTGAATTTAATTAATAATAAATTTAGGCCTTATGTAACCAACAGATAGGCCCTACTATAGGTATACATATTTAGTAATAGATCTATATAGTAAGCCTAGATCTATATAAATTTTAGCCTTTATGACATATGTAGATTATAGAAAACCAGTATTATTATTATTTGTATAGACTAAAATAGTTAAAACTAATAAATCCAAGATTCTACCTACCATAAGGCAGGCCAATACATTTTTTAGACTATTTTCTGTATCACTGTGTCTAAATATATAATGAATATGTTCGTTTGCAGCAGGTTGAACGAATGCGAATGGTTTCTTTTGTTTTTGTTTCCAGATTATTTTCTATTTCTAGATGTAGATCTATTTCTAAGAATGGGTAACACAAGATCTAAAAATAGGTCGTTTCCAGTTACTATAAAGGGAAAGAACACATTAAAATACATACATACAAACACATATAAATAAATTATATTATATAGGGCCTTTATAAAAGTGATTCCTTATTTTAATCAAGCAATGAGGCTAGAAAAAATGATAAGCCTAGTTATAAAAAAATTAGACTTAATAAAATGCTTAAGCAATATTTTTAGTTTAAAGATTTTTGCTACAATAACTGTAAGCTACTTAATAAAGAGAAGTGAAAATAAACACAAATGATTACATGTACATTTAATGCTTAGATGTACTATTTATTGTCCATATGATTATTTGATAAAAAAAAAAAAAAAAAAAAAAAAAAAAAAAATTATTTTTTTATCAAACAAAAGATGGGAATGATAATATTAGTTTACTATTTATCCATTTTACACAGGTCTAACCTAAACAAATTAACAACATGTTTATGAATAAATAAGTTTCTTAGGAAAAGTTATAACTGTAGATGAAAAGAGGGAATTAAATAATGAAATCATCACAGCTCTTTGTTAATTTGTAGTTCATTATCATTGTATTGTAGACAGTGGGGTAGCCAGGAATTGGTCATGGGAGGGGTTCAAACATTTTTTTCATAAGTATAATCCTATAAATATATATATATACATTTAGGGGTCCATGGGAGGGGTAAACCCCCCCCCCCCCAGCCTATGCCACTGATTGTAGATAACTCAAGCTAAGCATTGCACAGTAGCTTAGCGAGGTCGGGTGTCAGCCGGTGCGGCACTTAATGGTGTCACCCCCCCCCTCGAACTTTCCATTTGCACCCCCCCCCCCCCCTCAAGTTTTTCTTTATATATTTTGCTATTTTTTGCCTTGGTGTCACTCCCCTAAATGGTGTCACCCGGTGCAGTCCGCACCCCCGCCCCCCAGGGCCCCCCCTACACCTCTGATTAAGCATGTTAGATATGGTCAGCTATTTACGTTATGAGTACAAGTACTTAAGCTGGGTGGACTAGCTCTAATGATAGTTATCATTAGTTCCACCTTAGTCTTTGAACAAAAACAGACTGTAGTGAGTCAGTTATTGTAATAACTTGTACTGAACACCATCTAAACTTGCTTTATGTTAATTGATTCAACTGGCCACAAACAGGAAATAGAGCAGGACAAAAATGAAACAGAACAAAAAGAAAACAGGACAAAAGGGAAATGAAACAGGACAAAAATAAAATGAAACAGGATAAAAGCAAAACAGGATAAAAAAAAAAGAAACAAAGCAAAAATGAAACAGGATGAAATGGAAATGAAACAGGACAAAAATAAAACAAAACAGGACAAAAATAAAATGAAACAGAACAAAAATGAAACAGGACAAAATGGAAATGAAACAGGACAAAAATAAAACAAAACAGGACAAAAATAAAATGAAACAGAACAAAAATGAAACAGGACAAAATGGAAATGAAACAGGACAAAAATAAAACAAAACAGGACAAAAATAAAATGAAACAGAACAAAAATGAAACAGGACAAAATGGAAATGAAACAGGACAAAAATAAAACAAAACAGGACAAAAATAAAATGAAACAGAACAAAAATGAAACAGGACAAAATGGAAATGAAACAGGACAAAAATTAAACAAAACAGGATAAAAATAAAATGAAACAGAACAAAAATGAAACAGGACAAAATGGAAATGAAACAGGACAAAAATAAAACAAAACAGGACAAAAATAAAATGAAACAGAACAAAAATGAAACAGGACATAATGGAAATGAAACAGGACAAAAATAAAACAAAACAGGACAAAAATAAAATGAAACAGAACAAAAATGAAACAGGACAAAATGGAAATGAAACAGGACAAAAATAAAACAAAACAGGATAAAAATAAAATGAAACAGAACAAAAATGAAACAGGACAAAATGGAAATGAAACAGGACAAAAATAAAACAAAACAGGACAAAAATAAAATGAAACAGAACAAAAATGAAACAGGACAAAAAGGACATGAAACGTGACAAATAACAAATAAAATAACAAAGCGAAATTATCAGTCAAGACTCCCATGTCATCATTTATTCAATTCCAGCAGGTATAATTAAATATCAAATACATTACTTCTGTCCATACATGTTTTTATACAAATAAACCTCTGTCATCATCTACTTCTGCTCTGTGGCTTTTAGTAAACATTTTGTTATTACATTGTGGCAGTTTCTTGTTCTGTAAAGGAATCTAGACATTTAGGACAAAAATTTGGGCAAATCAGGTTACAAAAAACTAATTTTGAATTACTTATTAAGGTAATAATAAATTAAAATAATTTAAAAAAAAATACCAAGGGGTCATCCATAAATGACATGACGCTTTTTTGGATGATTTTTACCTCCCCCTCCCCTCTGTCACAAAAAAGCCAGACCCCCCCCCTAAAATGACATCACACCTCAGCCTACAACCCCCCTCAAAATTGCTGTTTTTTATAATGCAAAAAAGTGACATCACACCATCTAAACCCCCTCACCACACACCGTAACAAAATTACTGACCCCCCTTCCCCTCTACGAGTGTGATGTCATTTATGGATGACCCCTAATCCAAATATTTGTATTTTAATAAAGTAACATGTTGGCAATAACATTAGACATGTTTTACTATCTTCATCCTTGTGGTTTTTTAATTTTGTTTTTAACCTAGTCTTCAATATCACTTCTATTTGTTTTTGTGGGGGAAATGTTTTTAAAACATCCCCCCCAAATTCCAGATTTTTTTCAAATCACTTTCAATATAAAAAAAAATATCATTCCTGATAATAATATATGTATCATCTACATACCAACACGTTACTTTATCAAACACCAAAATATTTACACACTAAAACACACAGCCCAGGAACCGTTTCAGGTATAAATATTCAAGTTGGTGTAAATTAATTTTTCTATAGGGCCCATATTATGGCTTAGTATGTAATTTTGTGTCAAACACAAATTAATTTGTCTTATAGGCCTATATTGATACACCTGAAACTAATTGCCTCAGTTGTTTTGTTTGCTGTTGACAAAGTAGTGATGGAAAACAAGGTTTCAATATACTTAGGTGTACATACATACAAACATATATTCATTATATATATATATATATATATATATATATATATATATATATATATATATATATATATATATATATATATATATATATTTATAAATCACGAAGTATTTACACATCCATATATACAATGAAAATTCATATAATTCGATTAATGTAGATGTTGTGATGTTACCAATAACATCACAAGTAAGATATCGATGCAGTAAGGTCCATTTCATATTTTATTTCAAATAAGAGAAAGTTTAAAATTTTAAAAATATGAATAACAAGGTCATAATATAGAGTAATACAGCAGTGGGCCATTTACCTCCTTGAAATAATGGATTTTCATTCACTCACATTTATTAATTGAAAAAATTGATCAGACCAGCATAATGTATTGATTGTCAAAAACTGTTAGCATTTAAAATTGTTAACATATTACAAAATTTTAGATAATGTTGTACAGTGCATGTTTTTTATGTAACTGAATTTTATACTTTATTGATAATCTTCTACCTTATAGATAAGGCCAACCCACTAGAGTTTTGTTAAGTTGGAAAAAAAATTCAACTGTGTGTTAGTGTTATACAAAATTTGATTGGCTTGGCTTGACTATGTGTCTTTATAGGTTAAATATATTCATTTTCAGATAACAAGGAATTTTTCTTTTGGTACTTAAACAATAACTGAAAAAAAAAAGTTGAATTCAGTGTTTATTTGTGCTTGAAATTAACAAAAAATTTGAATGATAATAAAATCATCAGTATGACAAACATAATTCTTAGGTAAGCATAGCATCATAGTTAAGGGTACAGGTTTATAAAACCAAATTCTCTCCATAGCTGTAAATTAAAGTAAATTATATTTTAAATGAAAGTCAGTCTTAAGAAATTTTGTAGCATTTAGGGGCTCTCCATTCAGGAAACTGTCACGCATCTAAAGGGATTTGGTATGTACTTTTCATTGTATAAAATAACGTATACCCGTAACATGTAGTTCTTTAGTAGTGATATAAAAAATGTATTTATTTCTTATTTACCAAAACAAGAAAAAAAAATATCCATTAAAATTTTCTTTTAAAGATTTTATACATTTTTTACAGCTATAGTTATGCTACACATTTATTTTGGCTATTATTCATATCTTATATTTTAATATTAATTAATTTAAATACTTCTTTTGAAGCAATTTAAAATAATAATTTATTGAAGCATGACCAGCTCAGCTAACAGTGTTTATATGATGCTCTGTTTAAGATTGAAGTGTAGTTGTAAAAACAAAAAGACACCTTAGTGGCATTCAGCAAAACAGATTTACAATTATGAGCAGACTTGGTTTAAGATTGAATACAAGTTATTTATAAACAAAAAGAATATGTTATTCAGATGTATATTTATTTATAATTTTAAAAAAAAATGAATACTAAAGTTCCCTTTTTCAAACCTTACGGTCCATGCGCTGGGATGTTTTTACTGCCTTAAACATACACTCGAACTCAAGACTTTCGGTTGTACCGTTAAGCCTTGCTGTCCCATTATGAAAATATATTCTCGATAAAATTATCATACATAATAGGCCAAAAATCTATAATTTTAAAAATCTTCTATAGTCCATTGGTGATTTTGTTACTACATTTAATTTCTGCTTAATTTTAACATCAGTACAAGCATTAGTGAATAAAAAAAAACCCAGCAATAAACAAAGATCTAAACTTTCTTTTATTCTCTAATGGCTCCCTTATTTGTAATGATGAATCTGAGATATTCAAATGAACTGAGTGCTAGAGAATTATTACAATTAAAGCTTGTCAAAACTGTCAATTCCCTTTTCTAAAACATCCATAAAATCTGGTTGCAGAATTCTGGTCACTTACTTGATGAACCTTTCTGGCACAATAGCCGGGCCCAGATTTTGGCAGCAACAGAATCTTGATCTAAAATTAAGCAGAAATCTGGCCTCCTACTACAACCCTTCTTGCATAACAACCTGGCAAAAATATCTAGTCATAAATTTGGCCAGGACTTTAACAGCCTTAATAGCACAACATGAAATCTGGCAAATAATCTATAAATTCTCACACGCCTCTATGAAGCCATATACACAAAATGTGAAAAATATTCTGCAAGTTTTTTTAATGATATTATAAAAACTATATTAATACTAAATTCTTAATTCATCATATTGATATTAAATTTAACATTAAAGATGACATAATTAAGATAATTATCAAGTGGTTAGCACTTGTCGTTTTAATAAAGGTGAATAAAACAAAAGTTAACATACAATCTTTTAAAGACTAGTACACATCATAATATACTGTTAATATATTAATTCAACTTTTAAAGTTAGTGAATGAACATTATGATGCCTATGAAAACAAGACATCGAATATGATCCCTTATGAGTTAGGAAGATCAACATTGAGGAGTTCTCTCATGAATATGTTATCTGAAGAGTTCCGGAATATTTTACATTTTAGGCAACAGCACCTGCTGTAATTTATTTCCGTCAGTATGTGACACTCTTCAGTACACAGAAACAAGCATAAAACGCTAGTCCATTCAACCTCGTAACTGATTCATCCAATAGATTTTGAGCCCGATTTACAAATAATTCTGATTGGTTTTTTTTTTATAATGAAACATTGGTAGTTTATGAAGATGCTCTTTGGAGATTTTCTCAATACATTTTGAGCTTGATTTTTATGAATGATTGATAAATCCATTATTTTATTTCCTGGAAACGTTTAGTAGTTTAGGAATCACTGTGGAGGTCTGAATTGTAATACGTTGGTGGCGACGTGTTGAGGCTGCGAAGTCGGATTAGTTCCAGTTGCCGGTAGGGAGATTTCTTCTCACAGTAACAATGTGAAGAGCCATCGTCTGAAGTGAAGAAGAAATAGTTCTGTGTTAGAAATGTTTAAGACCTCATCTGGTGGTTTCAAAATAAGTGTTTTAACTATTTGTTTTGTCAGGGCCAAAAACAAGGTACCCTGGTGCCTCTACACACTGTATGTGCACCTGGCGTTCCTTCAGGCTATACCATAACTGACGCACTCTTTACAGGTAGAATTTTTTATCTATAGAATTTGTGACATTTTTTTCCAGTTTTTTATAACTGACACTTTACAGGTGGAATTTTTTATCTAAAGAATTAGTGACACTTTTTTTTCTCCAGTTTTTCAAAACTGACGTACGCTTAAGAGGTGGAATTTTTATCTATAGAATTTGTGACACTTTTTTCCCAGTTTTTTCATAACTGACCCATGTGTTCAGGTGAAATTTTTCATATATTGATTTGTAAAGTATTTCTCCAGCTATATCATAACTGACCCATGTGCTGAGGCGCAAGTTTTCATATACTGAATTTGCAAAAGTTTTTTTTCCAGATATAGCATAACTGGCACATGCATTTCAGGAACAATTTTTCATATACTGAATTTGTAAAATGTTTTTCCAGCTATATCATAACTGACGTATGCGTTTCAGGTGCATGTTTTCATATATTGAATTTGTGACTCGTTTTTCAGAGTCCGCTTGACTGTACCTGGAGATAAAAGATGGACGCTGTGACGACTGGTAATACCGACTGGGGTACAGGGAAAATAGGCTATTTAAACTATAAAAGATTTTTAAAGGATATGTTATAATTGACTTATATTTAAGGTTGATTAAGATTTACTTACAGCATAATAAAAACAATAAAAGATTGTTAGTATGTGTGTGTAATTTATTAATTATTTAAAAATAATTTTGTTTGATTTAAAAATCAGTAACCTTCACAAATTTGTCATTGAATTTCTGTGGCAGATTTTACTTTGTTCATTGAGCCTATTATGTATGTTATTATTAAGTCTGTATTGTGTTTATTAATAATTTTCAGTAGTGTTATTAACTAAATGCTGGAACTGCATCAGACCTAAGTTATGTAAATTTACACCAAGATGGTGATTTGTGTGCAAACATTAAAAAGCTAACTCCTAGCAGCTATTGTTAAAAAAAAAATTGTTGGTATAATTTTGTAAATTTTGATTGTTCTTGTGTTATTATTTCAAGCCAGAAGTGGTGGGGGTGATTTGTAATAGACACCCTTACACAAAATATTTCATTGTAATATTCCATTATTACAACAAGCGACTGAATTTAAGTATGTCTTAAAATTTTGAATATTGATAATATACCTAGAGGGGACTTTTATTTTGAGCTATGATTTAGGGACACAAGGGAAGATAATCTATAAGTATAAAGTTTTTGTCTTCCAAATAAACAGCAGGATTTATCAAACAGCCCTGGGACATATAGCCACATAATTCTAGAAATATACCATTCAAAATTTTTAGACCTAGCAGTTGTAATTCCAAAGACGTTACCATTCTTTTTTCGTCCCACAAGCTTCTGACATGAAAGGACTAACCTACATAGCTGTGTTTTGTTTCCGTAGTAAAAGACTGAATGAAAGACTTCCGGAACCTATTTGCTCGTTTCCTGACGTTTCCGAGAAATGGGGCAGTAGACAAGGTGTATATGACTGGATTGGTGGCTGAATTCAGAGGTAACACGAACACTGCGATCCATGCATACACCTGCAGGTTTAAATTAAATATGCATTAAAATATACTGCAACTTACTGGTCAAACAAAAATGTATCAAAATAAACTGAATAAAACTAGTCAAACAAAAAATGAAATCTGTTTCATAAATTTATTCTTAAAAAGATAATGGGCAGTGTATTTTTTTTTTAAGATTCTTTATTATCAAAATAACAGCAGGGGCATATCTGAGGCTTATTTTAACCCTGATTAGATTCTTGACTCTAACCGTAATCCAACACCAGTAATGCCACTCTTGCCCCCATCAGATTATTGGCCATAACCATAATCTAACACCATTCTTAAACCTGACCCTTATACTAACTAGGTCTACAGCAGAAAAACAAACTTTAACCAATAATGGCCTGTCAGTAATTACTTAACAACATCTAGTATTTTTGCACTGCCAAATATAACTAGTATGAATAGTTAGTTTATTTTGAACATGAATAAATTTTAGTAGTTTCAACATTTAACATTTTTGTCCACTGTTCCTACTTAGCAGCTTATCTAGTGGTCTACTTATGTGGTGGGCTCCACAGTTTCTTAATAAACATATTCCCACCATACCATAATTTACAACTAACTGGAAATTAATTTATTAACCTTTTACAGTGTCTTACTCTCTATATTCCCACCAAACCATAATTGGAAATTAGTTTATTTTGAACAATACTACATTTCAGTAGTTCCAACATTAACCTTTTAGTCCACTATTTCCTACAGTTTCTTATTCACTATATTCCCAGCATACCATAATTTACAAGCAACTGGAAATTAGTTTACTTTGAACAATACTACATTTCAGTAGTTCCAATAGTAACCTTTTAGTCCACTATTTCCTAGTTTCTTACTCACTATATTCCCACCATACCATAATTTACAAGCAACTGGAAATTAGTTTACTTTGAACAATACTACATTTCAGTAGTTCCAACATTAACCTTTTAGTCCACTATTTCCTACAGTTTTTTTACTCACTATATTCCCAGTAAGCCATAATTTACAAGCAACTGGAAATTAGTTAGTTTATTTTGAACAATACTACATTTCAGTAGTTCCAACATTAACCTTTTAGTCCACTATTTCCTACAGTTTTTTTACTCACTATATTCCCAGTAAGCCATAATTTACAAGCAACTGGAAATTAATTTATTAACCATAATTTACAAGCAACTGGAAATCTTACTTGGTCGTCTGTCTTGGTGCCAGCAAGAGAGACCAGTCCCAAGACAATGATAGGCACCCAGCAACAGAAATCTGTCATGACAATCAGTGTCATCCGTCGTGCCATGGCACTGTCATTCTTGCTCTCAGCAGTCCTATTTGAACAGATCAGTCACACATTTATCACACAAGGTTTTAGAATATGGAACACATTTTACACACTAAACATGTGAACATTTAGATATTAATGGTTTACATATTTCATATGAGAATATATAGACAGAAACTCATTCAAATATTTAGTTATTTTAATATGAAAATATGTTATATTTTACTATTTCATATAGAATTAATGAAAATGAACTAGTTACTGCTGTTTCACAGATATAATTTATGATAATACATTAACTTAACAGCCACAATTATGTTATGAAAACATATACATCTAACAGCCACAATTATTGTTCAAAACATTTCTAAAACTGCTTGAGCTATTGTTTTAAAATCAGCCAGTGTTCTTAACCTTTTTAAAAGTACCAAACCACACTAGTTTAACATGCTCATTCACCGAAGCCTTCTTAAGAGTTCTATCATTTACACTGACAAAATCCGATCATGAATCATATGTGTCAGGTGTGTATCTTGACACCTGCTGAGCCCTTGAGACTCGCTTACCAAACTCATGGGGTCTAATCGAACCCAAGTTAAGAACCCCTGAAATAAGCTATAAATGATATGCAAAAGGTCGACCACTCTTTAGTTTAATAAATTAACGAAATTTAAATAAAAAACATAAAATACCCACCTTACAGCACTGCGTGTCTTTTTGGCTACATAGAACATCCATAGATAGGACGAAGCAATGAGCAAGAAAGAGACCAGGTTTAAAGCTAGGAACACCCCAACTGAATACTCCCAGCCAGGCCGGTGGTCGGGGGTCACATGAAGAGCCAAACAAACACCAGATCGGCCATAGAAATTCTAGAACATAATTTATTTTTCTGTGAGCTTAGGTTACATAGAGGATTAATTATGTAATTAATGAAAATTAGCAATCAACGCTAAAAATATCTTATAATAAATAATTATATTTTCTTTAAATTATATTATACAAGCTCAATATTTCAAGCTCTATTTGGACAAGACAGCACATAGGTAACATGAACTAATAGTCTGAATCTCTAACTAAAGGGAAGGTGTGGTAAGCCGTTACTTTCTTACTTTCACTGACTTGTGACAGGTAACTATGATAGATGGGTGGACTAAGACATCACATAACAAACTATGCATGAGAATTTGGATTCATGTGCTCTACTTCTCATTCATATATTGTCCTTATAATGAAATTTTTAAATCTTAAAAAAGGAACTGTTCAAAATTACCTTACGCTGGAAAATAATTTTATTAAAATAAATAAATATGTTAAGGTCATGTTCAGATTTAGGGTAAGGTTTATTCTAGGGTAAATAAACTGGCAAAAAAAAACAGCATAGCAATTTATAAAAATCTGGCCAACTTTTAAAAAAATACCAAAACAATGCTGACCTCAAAATATGTGAAGCCCATGAGAGGTAGAACAGCCAGCCAGAACACCAGGAACCACATGAAGCTCATGACAACCACAGCCTGTTTCAGGCCCAGCCTTGACCTTCTCAGGGGGAACAAGATACAAAACAGGCGGTCCAGGGTGATTGTGGTCAGTGTAAGTACCGAGAGCTCTGTGGATGTCAGACCGTTTCAGTGGAGACTCAATTACACGATGGTTTTACTGATGAGTAACTAACTTGTAAATTATATAAGGTTTTACTGATGGGTAACTAACTTGTAATATATATTATGGTATTACTGAGTGACGTAACAAGCAACTAAAAATCTGTTTTACTAATTAGTAGATATCCTTTCAGACATGATGGGCAGTAGGGCAGATAAAATAGAGTTCACCTGTTTAAATACTTCTGGATTTAAAGGGATAATTTTGACAGTTAATTGCCCAGTGGCCTTCACTTTCCTGAATGTGAATCAGATACCCATTGGATATCATATGGTTGTACTCTCTAATAACCTATAAACTTGAGTCTGGAAACCGAACTCTAGACTTTTGTGTTGGCAGTCACATGCTCTATCACTAAACCATGCCAGCCCCCTCAGCTTGACTCAATTTGTCAGGGATGGTTACAGCCACAATCAAATGAAAGATTATTGTGCATAATTTATTTTAAAAAATGCAATTATTCCTTACAAAATTGTATAGGAAAATGTACAACAAAATGATAGGAGGTTGCAAAAGCACTAAATGAAATATTTTGTTATTTTTATTGAAACAAATCCCAGAGGAAACCTAGAATAGCTAGGCCTTAATTTCTCATTAGAAAAAGTTGAAAAAGTTCCACCTTAAAACGGCTTCAACTAGCTTTGACTATCCACTTGAAAATGTAAACAAAAAACCATGTAAACAGTTACATAGCTAGCCTTCAATCAACACCAGAAAATGTTAAAAATAAACCTAGCTGTAAACAGTGTTAGTAAGTCACCACTCAAAACTGGAAAACTTTAAAAAAATAATGTCTATGTAAAAAAGCTTAACATCCGGCCGCCACCAGATGATGTTGAAAAGTTCTATGTAAAACAGCTAGATCAGCCCCCTTCCCGACAAAGAGAATGTTGAAAAATTCTACATAAAAACAGCCCCCACTCACCACTAGAGAATGTTGAAACAAAGCCAGCAAACTGGCACAAGCTACTCTGCCTCCACTCCTCATCATAGGTGATGTACACACCATTGAAGTAAGCATCAGCGGCAGCAATGATCAGCAGGTAGATCCCCATCAGGAAGTCTCCAATAGCCAGGTTTGTTATTAGGAAGGAATGAACCTGTAAACATAACAGTTGTATCAGCTCATTTTACTCTACAGGCTTTGTTTTTTTGCAAGCAGTGGTAGCAGGGGACGGTGTGGCCTAGCGGTAGAGAGCTAGACTGCTAACCAGAGAGTCTCAAGTTCAAATCCGGGTTTAAATCAGTGGAGCGTCCCTGAATTCCACCCAGCTATGATGGGTACCTAACTTACATTAGGTAAACAAAGACGGATGGGCATAATGCTGACCACACTATCCCTTCATATGCCAAGGTCAATGAATCAGATGAACTCTACTTCATCTGCTCCATGTGCCTTGGGCATGAACGGGATTAAGAAAAAGAAGAAGCAGTGGTAACGTGGGTTTTAACAAAATGTGGAGACTGAGTTGTGAGAGTTGGGATGAGGGAACATGTAAACACTCAAATATATCAGTGGAATACACTCATTTTACTCTACAGGTTTTGTTTTTTGCTAGCAGTGGTGACATGGGGGTTTGAACATATGTAGGGGCGAGTTTTCTACAAAGATTTTTTTTTTCTTAATCCCCAACTTTGAGTTATAAAGGATATTACTCATATAGTATCATGAACAAATTATCTGAGATATTTTGTCTATCTCTAGTATTCAGGTAACAAAAATGTCTTTAATTTTCATACAGTGTGAGGTTGATAAATAGATATCCCTGGGACAACCCAGGCAGTGAGATAGGGCTACTAGACTTTAAACTGGGAAATAAAAATCTTAATATTTTAATAGGACATCAACAGGAAGTAAGTGATAGGAGCTAATAACAGAAAATGGCTGGGCACAATGTTTGCCAAACAAGTCCTAACCCGTTTATGGTTAATTTTAAATGAAAATGTGTAAAGAAAACAAAAGCTGACCTTTCCCCCACGGAAGTCCCGCACTCTCCACACAATGACCATCAGATTGCCCACAATGGCGATGACGCCCAGGACCCAGATGCTGACTTTCAAGACATGGTTGGACATGAGGTTTTCACAGGAGGAGAACTCATCCTTCTTTGGTGTGCAGTCTATCTCCCCTTGAGCCAGGCAGCAGAGCTTGAAGCTGTCTGTGTTCCTGGGAATATGTTCAAGCTATGTATTAATAATAAATGGGACGATGGGGTCAAGCATACAATATCTTAGTCAGAAAGTTTGTTTCCCATGCATGGAGGTTAAATAAAAAGAGACAGGAAAATGGAACGAGCATGTTTAGCCTGTGCTCTGAGCTAGGGATGGTGTGGCAGAATGGTAGAGCAGTTGACTGCTAACCAGAAAATCTGAAGTTCGGATCCCAGCTCTAGTCTGTACAGCTCCCCAGAGCCCACCCAGTTCTGATGTATATCTGACTCATTTACTTAATCCTCTTTACTCCTTGTGAAGCATAGGGCCTCAACCATAACTTCCCACTATGTCTGGTCCCCATCTGTTGATTTCGCCATTCCCAAGACATCCATGCGGTTTATCTCTTCAAGATGACTACACCTCCAAGTACGTCATGGGCACCCTGGCTAGGCATAGTGCTAACCACACTATCTCTTAATATGTCGAGGTCACTAAAACAGGTAAACTACTTCCACTGCCAAGTGGACCATAAGGTTCAAAAGGGTACTTTTAAAAACTCTGAGCCAACTGTTGTTAGCTAAGACTTCAATCACACTTGTTTTTTTGTACACTGTGACTAGAGTCCTCCTAACTCTGATGGGTCCTTAAGTCATGTAAGGGAAAGTAAAGATAGCTATAAAAATAGATGAACTCTACTTCATCCTCTCTGTTTACATAATTATAAAACATTTATGGCGTGGTATGGTGAAGTAGCATTCCTAACTACAAACTTCACAGTCCTATGTTCAATTCTTCGGCAGTAGTCCACAATTAGCAACAGATTCTCTAATGGGCTTTGCCCAGACTAATCTACATAGAAATTAAAGCATTCTAAATAAACTGTTCAGTAAAATCTTACAAGAACTGTAGCCTTGGTAAACCAACGAAAGTCCTCTTGCCAATGTCTTTGATCATGTTGTGACTCATATCACTGAGTAAAAAATAATTTATAATTAGAATTATCAAAAAAGGAAGTCCAAATTTGATTTATTGTGGAACACTATGTATCAAAAAGAAATGTAGTTCTATTTGAAATTTAAACCATTTAATAGAAACTAAATTTTATTTTACATCTTATGCCTCATACCCATGCATTAAAAAAGAGGCTTACATTGGAAAAAAAAGTAATACACATATTAAAACTAGTTTAAGCAAATATATACATTATTATTCAGTTTGTCAAATACAATACAGTTGTTAAAGGCTTAGCCTCAATTATTTGTGCACAATTTAATCAAATAGGTCGACAGAAAATAAAATTTTTTTCTCCCCACTCACATATGTACAACATTAATCAGGCTGCTAAATGCACCTTCCTCAATGTATTTGATCAAGTTGTTGGATATGTTCCTGAAACACACAAGGTACAACAAGTTTATAAAGTTGTTGGATATGTTCCTGAAACACACAAGGTACAACTAGTTTATAAAGTTGTTGGATATGTTCCTGAAACACACAAGGTACAACTAGTTTATAAAGTTGTTGGATATGTTCCTGAAACACACAAGGTACAACTAGTTTATAAAGTTGTTGGATATGTTCCTGAAACACACAAGGTACAACTAGTTTATAAAGTTGTTGGATATGTTCCTGAAACACACAAGGTACAACTAGTTTATAAAGTTGTTGGATATGTTCCTGAAACACACAAGGTACAACAAGTTTATAAAGTTGTTGGATATGTTCCTGAAACACACAAAGTGCAACAAGTTTATAAAAACAAATATATTTTCACATTTAACACAGTATTATTTCTAAAATACATTTGAAATTAGTTATAGGATAACAACCTGTTTACAAAAGTAAGGTGACTTTCCAAACAATTTAAAAAAAAATATTGTTATCTCCCCTCTTTCATTCAGTATCACTTTAAACAGATAATCAAATTCTTCCTTCAAGTTACTCATGTAAATTTAACTGGCATTTACTTACAGAGTTGTTACTTTTCTCAGTCCCTTGAACATGTGTTTGTATATGAAGGTAAGCTTTTGACCACTCAGATCCCTAAAACAATAATTTCACAAACAAGTTTCAGAACATTGATTTATTATTTTAAAGACAGCAATTAATCTTCAAAATGGAAACTTGAAAGTAATATTTTGTGTAACTATTATGAGTAATAGGCCCACATGTTGAATATAGAGGTTATTTGATTAGTTCTGGTCCCCACATCTTAAGTAAACTACTTTTTTTTCTTCTAAAGTGTAGCATCAGAGATGTGGACCCCTGACTCTCAACCTGTCATCCTTACTAGCCATTTTGTGTCAACCTAACTAGCTACTTCGTGTCACCCTAAATGGCCATTTTGTGTCACCCTAACTAGCTACTTCATGTCACCCTAAATGGCCATTTTGTGTCACCCTAACTAGCTATTTTGTGTCACCTTAACAAGCCACATGTTGTCATCATATCTACCTACTTTATTTCATCTTTACTCTTGCAAGCTAATCCCATAATGGCTAAATTACTAGCAAAGGAAATGGCCTAGGCTGTTATTGCAATGTATCCACTACTATATGTATCCACAAAATACACCTTCAAGTAGCAACCCCCCCCCCCCCCCCCCCAAAAAAAAAACCTACTAAACACACGAGGGAATGTCAGTACTTACAGAGCCATCAGCCTGGACAGAGAAGTAAAAGTTTCTTCCTCAATGGCTTCTATTTTGTTACCATTAACATGCCTGAGGAAGATTTTAACATTCATCAACAATAAAGCAATTATAAAAACCTTTATAAATAACAAGCTTTTAAATGTACTGAAAATAAGAAAATAAACTCATATTCTTCAAATAAAGCTTTGGTCATGCATGAGATGTTTTTTTAGCGACCAAAGCTTTTTATTGTTAATACTCATAGTTTGTATAACATTCGTTAAAAAAAAAACAGTCTATCACATTTGATTTTTCAGAGTGATGTTATTAAAACAACAGTCACTTTTGTAAAAACAGATTAGGATTAGTGCACTCACAGTTGTTTCAGGTTAGTCAGACCTAGAAAACTGCCATTCCGGAGCACCTTGAGATTATTGTTGCGGATATCTCTGATGGGAGAAAAGATATTTTTCATTAAGATTCTATGACTCTACATAGAGGAGTAAATATAGAATTTAATAAATGGGGGCTGCATGTCTGGGTAGAAGACAACATGACAGCTAACCCATAGTCTTGAGTTGGATCATGGATTTAAATCTGTAGGATGTATCTGAGTTCACTCAGCTATATTGAGTACCTGATTTAAGTTAGGGAAAATAATGTGGCTGGAAATACAACTGATCATGTAATAACTCTTCTTATGCTAAGGTTAATTAATTAAACATTAATTCTACTTCAACTGCTTCAATGTCCAAGGGTAACTACTTTATTTTAAAAAGTTATAGTGGGTAATACAGAAAAATACAGGTAGTATTGTGTAATGTTATTTTTTTCCAATCAGTATTAAGGTTAGGTTCATGTTAGGATTAGGGTCGTTGATGTGTAAAAATTAAGGTTAGAAAAGAAAAACTAGCAAAATAAATTTACCACACCTATAAAAAAAATAAGACTCTCTTAGAATTTCTAAACTGTTTGTTGTTTAGCCATTTCATTAAAAATAATGTATTGCTAAAGTCATAACATAAATGTCTTACAAGTAGGTGAGCTTCCACATATTTTCAAAGGCAGCCACTGGGATTTCTGTCAGTTGATTCTTACTTATGTCCCTTTAAAATAAAAAGTAAGTTGAATAATGCTTTCTTCCCTTGAAACAAAAAAAAATGAAAATGGAACTGAATATGTTAAGAAGTTGATTACAAGAAAGATAGTTAAGATTAAACACATAATATTTTATAGTTGAAAAATCTTTATTGTTAGGAAATATACTTTTAAGAATCCAAGTCAACTGGCCATCTACGTAAATGAGGGGATGGCTAAGTAAATGAAAAGTTAAAGGGCACTTATCATAAATTTTAGAACCAATCATCAAATCATTTAGAGCTACTTAACTACTGTTTTTGAACAAGTGATCAAATATTTTAAAACCAGTAATCTTACAATACAGAATGTTTTAGAACCATTGATCAAATATTTAAGAACCACTCATCTAATATTTTAAAGGCATTATCACAAAGCTGTTATTTTTAAATACTTTTTTTAACTGAATAGGTGCTTTGTGTAAGGTAAAAAAAAATCTCTTACAGGTATGTCACTTTATCATAGTATTTCTCAGAGAAAAGTGAACTTGTCAAGTTCAGTTTGTTACCACTGAGGTGCCTGAAAAAAAAAAGTTCACAAGATAACATATTTGTTGCCATTTAGGAGCCTGGGAAAAAAATGTTTAAAAAGGGAGACAAAGAAAATTTAGGATTTAATTTTTCTTTAAATGGAAAAAATAGGTCTTCCTAAAATTGAAGGAGCTACAAATGGCTGTATGTACTAATTTTTTTAATTTAAGATGCTTTGTCACCATTTGTGGGATTACGATGTTGGCTAGCTAATGCAAAACTATAAGATATTCCTCTGTCCACACTGCCCTGACCAGAAACCAATAGTTTCAAAGGCAGAGGTCACAAAAACATCAACCTTACTTCACCTACCCCCAGGTCAATCTTTATGTTAACAAAACTTCTTTCCTAAAAACAAAACCACTTATGTAAAGTATGCTAAAAACAAAACCACACATGTAAAGTATGCTAAAAACAACACCACATATGTAAAGTGCGCTACCATACACTGGATGCTACTCACAGCTTAGTCAAGTGATCTAAAATGTGTGGACTTTGCGCTGGCATCAGGGTCAAACTCCTGTTTTCACAGTTCATCTCTTCTCCAAAACACTTGCACACTTTGGAATGACTAGGGCAAGAGTATTCTAAAATGTTTAAAAACACAATGTAGGACTTATATTTATATAAATACTACCTAATTCATAGAAAAATAATAGTTATTTAAAAAGTATTAAGATAGGCCTACATAATTAATAGTCTCAGATTCATATATACATAAATATATATATATATATAAATATAGCTCTCACTATATATATATATACATATATATCTATATAAATATAGCTCTAACTATATATATATATATATATATATATATATATATATATATATATATATATATATATATATATATATATATATATATATATATATATATATATATATATATGCTTCCACTGTTCCCTAACATTTCCATATTTTAAGGACTTGGTGAAACAAAAGTGTTCTGTAATAAGTGCAAGACAGATATGGCCATAAAATTTTTTTCCATGATGCCTTGGTGGATTTAGAACAAAAACAAGTATAAAATCTCAAGAAAAAATGAGGTGAGAACTTATTTTTCAAGTGAAACTATATATATATGTATGTATATATATGTATGTATATATATATATATATATATATATATATATATGTATGTATATATATATATGTATGTGTATATATATATATATATATATGTATGTATATATATATGTATGTGTATATATATATATATATATATATATATATATATATATATATATATATATATATATATATATATATATATATATATATATATATACACACACACATATATATACATACACACACATTTTATATTAAATAAATGTAGGCCTAAACATTGAGTAGGCAAGTATGATATTCCTAACCCTGGCAGTTATATCAGCAAGCTAATACATATATGTGTGTGGGATGGGAATGCCATGACTAGTTATAAGACACTGAAGCCCTATCATCAGTATTAAAAGAACCATGAAGATACACTGAGCTGGCCCATATCCCTGTGTTAAAAAAAAGCTATGAGACAGTACAGCCCTGCCAGAAATCTTAGAAGAACCAAATATACAACATACCGCAGGTTGCTTCATCCCAGTTAGCTTGCCCACAGTCAATAACTCCATCACAGACTCTGTGCGTTTCAATACAGAAGCTCCTGCGACACTTGAACTGATTAGGACCACACTCATGGGTGGCTGGAGGTAATTAATCAATAGTTAGACCAGGTGCTTGTGGTGGGTTTAGGGATTTATGGGAAGGGATAAGGGACTATGATTATGGATATTAACGTTAACATATTGTAATTGTAGCAGGTTTTGGGGTTTAGAATTTAAAAAGTAGGATGAGGAATAAAAAAATACAAGTCAGAGGAGTTAGGTAGGATATACATTGTGTAAGGAATTTATAAAACAGGTGTTGGGATAAGTGGTATGCATATTCTGATTGGAGATTTATAGTAAAGTGGGGGTTAGTTACCTACTATTAGTGATAATGATAGATTTTAAGTAGAGGTCTATGAATGGAGATACATAAACCATAAGGAAAAGTTGTGTGGATTAGTGAAATATAAAACCAGATAATGAACAAAAATTTCAGCCACTGGAAGTCAGATACTTAAATGCAAGTTGCGTGATTGCAGAAGGTATATACGGGTATTGACTTACTGCAGTTGATGATGTGTGTTTTATCAGCACAGCCATTTCTTGTGTTGGTGTTGAAGCAGATGTAATCTGAACTTATGCATTGACCATTATCACACCTAAACTCATTCTCTTTGCATGGCTCAGAACTTCTGACTGGAATTAAACAATAAGAAACATAGTGGAAATCATGGTGCTCTCCTAGCTCCTGTATGAAAATTAAATCTGAAATTCCAAGAGTTTTATACAGCCTATATAAATTTAAAATTTACTTAGAAATAACATTTTAAAAAAAACATGTTGCATGTCAGATTTGGTGTAAATAGTCGTTTACTCTTTCTTAATATTACATATATTAGCCATATATTTCTTTGAGATTAAAAATGTAGTCTTTTAAAATTGTGTGTTGAATTTCCAATACATTACTACATTAGCCATCATCTAAATATTCAATTTATAACTTAGTGTAGCAATTTAAAAAAACAACAAAAAAAACAAATTTCCTACACACCACATTGGTTTTCAATACTTTCAATTTCATCACTGCCATCAGGACAATCCCTGTAATAGTCACACCAATAATTTGCGTTGATGCACTCCCCACTTTTGCACCGCTTTGTGTTGGCTGGGCATTCATATTTACCTGAAATATAGATTTAAAAAGTTAAACCTTTATTCTACAAAAATAATCATTTCTATGAATAGCTAAACTATTTTAAAAGATACATTGCCTCAGAATATTAATTATAGAATTGATTGTGTAGACTGTAGGCCTATAAATAAATAAATGCAAAGTTTTCCTTTAAGACCTAACAATCCACAGGACAGTAGATATTCACTTGTATCTTGACTTTGCCAAATAAAGGGATGGTGTGGTCAGCATTATGCGCAGCCATTTTTTCTTTCACTAATGAGAGTGTAATACTTGAGTGTAACCATCATGATCATAGCTGCTAATCGACATAGCTCTGTGGACTTAGGAACGTCCAACAGTCACAAGTCTGAACCGATATCCAAACTCGAGACAATCTGGCTAGTAGCACTCTCACTCAACCACGCAACCTCATAACAGACTGTAGGACCAGCTATTATTTCTCTAGGTTGCTAAATTAACATGAGCCACTGAGGGGAAAACCATGATGAACCATAATAAAAGGGAGACAATCATCACAAAATGCCTCAGAATGTGTGAAGTGTACTGAGTTACGGTTCTATAAATTTAATAAAATATTCTAGATATAGATATACTACAACTAGAATCTAGATCTAGATTTAGATCTCTATTCGAATGAGTCTGACACTGGTAGCCCCAATAATCTGAAACAACTAACTTACTGCAATCCTTCTCGTCAGCCCAGCTATGGCAGTCCAATATCCCATCACATCTTTGGTGCATAGGAATACAATCTCCGTTCCCGCACGGAAACTCATTTTGAGCACACTTTATGTTTTCTTGTAAGAAAGAGTTACACAAATTAAACAAGTTAACAATGGTTTGGAATTCAAAAACAAAAATTTCTTTATAGATCTAGATCTAGATCTAGATCTAGATCTAGATCTAAATCTAGTTATTTAAATAGTAGCGTATTATTATATATTTAAAGAAAATATTTTTTTGATTCCTTTTTAGTGCATTATTACAAAGTTTGTTAAAAAAACGTTTTTTATGCAATTGTTTTCAGTACTTTAAAAAAATGTTATACAACAGAGTTGTATGACTAAAAAACAATTAAACACCAAATAGACATAAAAATGCGCGTAAAATAATGCAGAAATTTTATATTAATTCAATTAAGTAAAATTTAATGTCTTGCGTTGTCTTCAAGTCTCGACCCACGTGCCAACTTTGAAACGAATCGGTCAGTTACAAGTGCTCGAAATTTCGCTCGCCCGTTTCAATCTATGACGACAGGTCTTTACGCATTTTAGAAAAAACCTAATTTCAGTACTTTTCCCCCTGAGCCCTTCATATCGCCTGGAGGTAATTTTGTTTACAGCTGACCCACGACGCTGATTCATGTACCATCTCAGGGTCTGACATCACACTGTCGTTCTCCAGTTACTACAGCGCCCATCCAGAGTTTCTTCCAGGCATCTCTTCCAGGCCTCCCGAGCGAAATGAAATTTATATAATTTATATAGAAAATTTATACTTTTAACAGTGTCCGCCCCCCCCCTCCCCGAAGAAAGTTTACCGCCACCCGAAAATTTCAAGTGCCCCCCCCCCCCCCCACCGGAGAAAAAAAGTCTGGAAAAAACACGTGCTTTTGGTCTCATAGTTTAGTTGAACCTCCTCCCACACTTGATATTTCGTGGCGGGGGGGGGGGGGGGGCTAAATTTTCCAGGGGGGGGGGGGGGGGCGGACACTGGTAAAAAAATGTTTTATATATAAATTCCATTTGAGGTGGGGGGGGGGGTAGACTTTCTTTGCGCCCCCTCCCCCCCCCCCCCCCCCCCCCCCCACCGAAGAGATGCCTGGAAGAAATTGATGAACACAGGTCCCCTTCCCGAGAGATGCATGCATCTCATTCTCTCGTTTGTTTATGGGTCGGTTGACATCTCGTTCGGACTGACTTACCTCAATCTAGTTCAACCTACGCTATCGACATTACGAATTAAGAACCAGCCACTGTACGCACTAGCAAGAATAGACCTAACTTGATGTGTAGACAGCAAGACAATCACGAAAACAAACAGACTAGTTCAGATTACGACGTAACCGAAACTCGACTTAACCTGAAAAAAAAAGTTACTTACTGTTAGGGCAATCCTGTTCGTCAACGGCGTTGTTGCAATCAGCATACCCATCACAAACATATTTCGATAGAATACACCTTTCATCACAGTAGAAAAACTCTGAATCTGGGTCAAGAACCGAACAATCTGTAACGTTTTTGGGTACTGAAATTGTAGAAAAATTAAACAAATCAGACGCCTACCATTCATTATAAAAAGTAGGTTGCTACTACAAATAGATTTTGTTTCTATCAAGTGATGTAATATAAACTGAATTGAGCGAGTGGGCAGGCTGTCTAAAAGAGTAGGCTGTATAATAATTGTGTAAATAGTTACTAAATAGGATATCTAAATAGCCCTCTTCTAAATTACAAAGGGGGGGGGGGGGGTCGTCGTAAATGACGTCACGGTCCTTGGGGTGAGAGGGGTTCGACCAGTGTTTCTTCCAGACTTTTTTCTCCGGGGGGGCACTTGAAATCTTCGGGGGGGGGGGGGAGGCGGTAAACTTTCTTCGGGGGGGCGGACACTGTTAAAAGTATATATTTTCTATATAAATTATATAAATTTCATTTCGTTCGGGGGGGGGGGGGGCGGTAAAAAAATTTCGGGGGGGGGGGGGGGGGGCTTCGCCCCCCCCCCCCCCCGAAGAGATGCCTGGAAGAAACTCTGGGTTCGACGATGATTGATGATGAGGAGTGGGGAGGGGGGGGGGGCTCAGATAATGTGACTTAATTGTGTTAGAGGGAATCACTTCCAACAATAAAATTAAGATAGAAGAAGAAGTGATTTCTAAGATAATGCTAGTCAGAGGCGTAGCGACCCTTCCCGGCGCCCGGGGACAAACTTTTGATTTGCACCTCCCCCCCTCAAACTTTCGATTTGCACCCCCCTCGAACTTTTCATTTGCACCTCCTCTCAAACTTTCAATTTGTTTTTCCAACCCATTTTGGCGCCCCCCCCTAAGGTCGGCGCCCGGGGACATATGTCCCCCCCGCACCCCCCCCCCCTCGCTACGCCTCTGGTGCTAGTCAAGTTGTTTTTAAGCAATCATATGTTTTGTAGACAAAAGGCATTCAAACAACAACTTACAGCAGAAAGCCTCGTCCGCGCCTCTTCCAGAGTCTCGGCACTCATTCCCGTTGTCACACAGGAGATCTCTAGATACACATTTCTCTGGGAAATCAAAAGAGTTCCGACAGATGAAATTCTTTTCACTGTCACACCCCCGGTAGTCAACGCCTGAAAAGATTTGAAAAATAAATTAGGCTTATCTTTAAGCTAATTGGGTAAGAAAGAAATAACGAGATACTAAAATATAGTTAGTTTTTATAAGTATGTATAGGGCCTATTCAGAAGAGTTTTAAGAATAAATTTGACCTGTAAGTGTTTATAAGCCAGTGGTTCTTAACCTTTTTGGAGACACCAACCCGCAACTGATTGATACTAGCTCTTAACTGTTCTATCGTCCGCACAGACAAAATCTGATTTTGAATCATATGAGTAGGGAGGGGGAGGGGGTGTCTTGACCTCAGCCGAACCCCTGAGGCGGACTCACCGAACCCCTGGGGTTCCATGGAACCCAGATTAAGAACCGCTGCTCTATGCGGAGTATCGCAGCAAACGGATGTACCATGTATTATTGTTGAAAACATATTTTTTTTATCATAACACGTGTTGGCTTCTCGCAATGTTTTCAAATCAATTGTAATGATCTCCAATAGCTTCTTGTTTCAGTTTGAAGGACAAGCTTTATTCGATTATGTGAGAAGTTACAATCACTGCGAGCACTGTCTGTGCAGCGAATAGAAAAATGCACAAACTCTGGTGCAAACTAATTATACCAATACAGTTTCTTCTTTCTTCTTCTTCGTTATTAACTTCAAGTGTTGGAAGGGATCGAGCCTTATCTGCCAGAGGTTTTGAACTCGAGACTTTTTCGAATTTTAACAACCATGAGCTTTTTGCCGACTCGACCACGCTCCAACACAATTAAGTATACGTGTCAACTGGTTATGCGCCATTGAGGCCGATTTCAGCCTGCTTTTCTTTTTGGATTTGCTTCCATAACCTTTGTACAACAAAGAACAAACTACAAGGCAGCACTTTCATTTTGTCATATTTCGTAGAAAAGTGGTTGATTTTACTACAATGCACGTGTGGTCATTCATTGCTAACGTCTATACAATTCCCTACAAATTTGTGTATGCCGTTCTCCGTTGCATAGCTTAAGAATCCAAACTAATTCTAAATTAAAACTTCCCGCGATATCTTAAAATTCTAATCATAATACAGGAAATAGATCTATAGGGTATTCTTTTTAGAAAGGTATAAATTATATATTACATAAATAATAAGTGCTTAAATAATAAAACCGTAAAACATGCAATTAATGGGATTTCATCTACAAAATTAAAGTAAATTTACATAATGTAGTCTAATCTCTACAGTTTTGTGACAAAGACATTAAAATTTAAGATGTAACGACCGAGTAGGGCCTAGCTATATCAATTTTTATTTTATGCTTAACTAAAAATTATTTCTTTAAGAACAATTTCTTTTTCTTGCCCTGCTATGCACAATTTATATAATTTACTTATACATCATATTATCGTTGGATTATATATATATATATATATATATATATATATATATATATATATATATATATATATATATATATATATATATATATATATATATATATATATATATATATATAATCAAACAACAAAAACAACTCACCACAATTGTTTTCATCAGCGCAAGAAACACAATCACAAGTACCATCACAGAGCCGTACTTTAGGGATACACTGTTTGTTAGGGCATCGGAAATGTTCCTCGTCTGTGCAGTAGTCACCTGGGTAAAATAACAGAGTAGGTCTACATAGAGCTCCTACAAGGTGGTATATAGTTCTTTTAAACAATATAAGCTTCAGGTACATGTCATGTCGAGAGATTGCATGTTTATTGGAGGCGGGGGACGGTGCCAACTATGTTGAATATATATATATATATATATATATATATATATATATATATATATATATATATATATATATATATATATATATATATATATATTATAGGTATTATTACTTACAATTTATTTCATCAAAGTGGGTCCCGTAGCAATCAACCCAGCCGTCACACCAGTGCTTGTCCTCAATGAAGAGTCCGTTTGGACATCGAAACAAACCGAAGGCGGTGGTGTTTTCTGTAGGATTAGAACTTTAAAGATTAATGTATTCAATTAAAACATGCACACATTGTAAAAAATAATAGTAAAAATAATTTAAAAACATCAGTAGTCTAATAGCGCTAGCACGCAGAGAGGAGGGGGGGTGTAATATTTTAATATGTTTAAAACATAATGTTCAATGGGAAATTTTTTGAAAAATGTGATGCTTTGATAGGATGAAAAGAGAGGGAGGGATGGGAAGGGGTTAACAAAATGTGAAGTAGCAATTGCTTTGATTTATATTGTATAAAAACATTATATGATACCTTTTACAATTATGTTTATTCATTAAGCGGCTCTGTTTTAGGATTGAGATTTCTTACTTTCCAACAACAGATGTTGATAGAGAGAGGGGTAAAAAGTTATTCAAATGACGAGCCAATTCCATTATTTGGTCCAATCATCGAGCAGGAATTTTATAATCTACTGCAAGAGCTAATTGTTGTGGCTCTTTAACGTGTTCAGCTATTCAATAAAGAATAACATTTTGAAAAAATATATTAACGAAATTATATCCTTGATCATTTTTTTAATTAGTTGCCTGGTTAGTACCTAAAATAATCGAATTATTACATCAGAAAAACGAAAAAAAATCGGACATGGCATTGTTATGAAATTATCAAGAGGAATCTAAGACAACAACTAGAACCAGGGTTTCTTTCAAGCATTTTTATCCGAGAGTGGTGGCGAGGGGGGGGGGGGGGGGTTGGCGTGTTTAAAATTTCTGTGTGCCAGATGCCGTAAAGTAGGTCTGTAAATTTTCTATATAAATTTTATACTTTTTTCATTTCATTGGGGGATGTGTGTGTGTGGGGGGGGGGGGGGGGGGGGAGGGTGTAGATATGCTTAGGGATAATGGGGCGAGCCAGGGGAGGGATGGGGGGGGGGAGCCAGGGGAGGGAAGGGGAGGGGTTGACATTCTTAGGGATTATGAGACGAGCCAGGGGAGGGATATCTGGGGGGTACATGCTTTTGGGCGGGCCGGGGCAGTGCTTCCCCGATGAGATGCCTGAAAAGAAAGACTAAAAGACACGAAGGATCTATTTACTGCATCGATCGTCCTCGTCACTCCCATCGTAGCAGTCCATGATGCCGTCACAGCGACTGCCTACAGTGACACACTGCGAGTTGTTGCACGTGAAGGTCCCAACACACTTGACCCTGTCTGGTGATGGAGGACGTACAGGTGAGTGGGAGGATTGCACAGTGTGTAACAGTAGTAGATATGTGTTGTGTGGTAGCGAGATGTTTGTATAAAGGATGGATTGTCCATCTCGAAAGTAAGTTGTAGCATCTACTTCACTTGACGGTACCACACACCAAACACCACACGACTACAACACAGCCCATAGTACCCACGAAACATTACTAGTTCCTATCACACATTCCCAGTACTATCACACACTTATCGTACATCATTCAGTACCACCCTCACACCAACCATACATCACCTAGATCCATCACACACCAACCATACATAACCAAGTACCTACAGATATCAGCCACAGTACCCAGTTACTACCACACATCACCCAGTTCCACCCACACACCACCCACACAGCACCCAGTACTAATCACACATCACACACACACCACCCACCCCACATTACCCAGTACTGCCCACACAGCACCCACACACGACACACACAGCATCCAGTACCACTCACACACCTATCTAACATCACCCAGTACAACCCACACACCTAGCACACATCACCCAGTAAAACCCACACAACACCCAGTACTAACCACACACCACCCCCACATCATCCAATACAACCCACACACCACCCCCACACACCATCCAGTACCTACCACACAGCACACACACAGAACCCACACACCTACCCCACATTACCCAATACAACCCACACACCACCCACACAGCACTCAGTACTAATCACACAGCACAGACACACCACCCACACACCTACCCCACATTACCTAGTACAACCCACACAACACCCACACAGCACCCACACAGCACCCAGTACTAACCACACACCACCCCCACATCACCCAATACAACCCACACACCACCCCCACACACCACCCAGTACCTACCACACACCACCCAGTACCTACCACACACCACCCACACACCACCCACACAGCACCCAGTACCACTCACACAACTACCACACATCACCCAGTACAACCCACACACCTACCACACACCATCCACACAGCACCCAGTACAACCCACAACCCACACACCACCTACCCACACACCACCCAGTACCTACCACACAACGCCTCGTCTGAACCATCACCACAATCATCCACAAAGTCACACTGCTTGATCCTCGGGATACAAAAAAAGTTATCGCACTTGATGTGGGTCACAGGGGGACACACGTAAGTCTCTGAAAGGGGAGACAAAAGGGCGGGAATATCAACATACGTGAGAAAACAAACATCACGAATTCTAGACAGATAATTTGCTTATAAATAGTTCATTAAAGGCACACAAAAGATTTCTGAAAATAAAAAATGATTAGACTATAATGTATGTCTCTAAGGAGTTAATAAAAAAAAATTCTTGATCATTATATATACCATCAGTTTGAACTGAAAACCGCAACTTTCGTTTACATTCTAAATGTTAACCAGACTTCTATTTTTTGATAGGAATGAGTAAAGTTCCCTCTGTGAACCTAACGGTCCATGGGACAAGTGAAGTAGAATAACTGTTTCTTTGACCTCGGCATATGAAAGTATAATGTGGTCAGCTCTATGCCCAGCCGCCTTTGTTTCCATCATGTAAGTTAGGCACCCATTAGAATTGGGTTGACTCAGGGACGTTCTACACACAAATTCTGACTATTTGAAAGTAAGTAGTAAAGTTCCCTTTTTAAACCTGAAGGTCTATGGAACAAGTGAAGTAGAGTTCACCTGTTTCTGTGACCTCGGCATATGAAAGTATAATGTGGTCAGCTCTATGCCAAGCCATTTCTACTTTCCCTAATGTAAGTTAGGTACCCATCAGAGCTTGAACTCAGGAACGTTCTACTGACAACCTAGAATCGACCTCGAGATTATCTCGTTAACAGTCGAGCACTCTACCGATAGACCACGCCATCCCATTTATTTGTAAGGCACAGCTTACCGCAGTTCATTTCATCGCTTTCGTTATCACAATCAGCCCGTCTATCACACCGTTGCATCTTGTCTATGCATGTGGTTTTGTTACACTGGAACTCCGTGGGCAAACAGCCTGTGGGAAAACAGACACTCTTGTAAACAAAAAGGTAGGAAAAGATGAAATTTCGCGAAAAGTAGTGGGAACATGGAGACAATTTTGTCAAAATGAAAAAAAAAAGTAGATAAATTCGGTAAAAAAATATTAGAAAACGAGGAAAATGTAATTTAATAAAACAGCGGTAAAATATGAATGGTTGGGGTTGGAGGGAGGGGGGGGGGGGGTAAGAGTAGACAAATGTAGACGATTTTGTAAAAAAAAAAAAAAAAAAGTAGACAATTTAGTGAAAAAGAAAGTAGGATATGTAGGAATGAATACAATTTTATATTTAAAAAGGTAGACGATTTAATAAAAAATGTAAAATGTAGACAGTTTTGTTGATAAGAAGAATAAGGTAGACGATTGGCTAAAAAATAAAAATGCTTCTTATGTATGAAATGTATACTATGGTAAATACATTGACACATATAAAGCTGGGTGTTGGGAGGACAAGATAAGGGGCAGACAGTTATGTTTACAGCGGGGAGGGGGGGGGGGGACGGGACTGAGGGACGACGACGACGACACCTAAACATGCACATTATAACTTTTTACAGATTTTACAATATTTAATAATTTTGAGGTTTAAATTTTGGTATGTACACTAACCTTTAACTGTTTGAATAAAAAAAATACTTTTTAAAAATTAAGTGTTCATTAGAAAGGACCAAGTCATAAACGGAAGTGACGTCATTAAAAAAACCACTAGGCCTGCTCACCACAGGTTTCCACACTCTCGTCTGTTCTGTTGGTGCAGTCGGGCGTGTCGTCACACTTGCGGGACAGGGGCACGCACTCCTGGCCCATGACGTCACAGTGGAACGCATCCGGGTCGCTGCAGGGGATCCTTATGGGGGAGTTGTCGGCCTTGTTGACTGTGGCTGTGGAAAGATTCGGAATTGAAATAAGGCTGAAAACATTAAGGGAGATAATATATAAAGGGAAATAACTTTAAATTAACCAAACGATTGTCCTTATGGGGACGTTGTCGGCCTTGTTGACTGTTGCTGTGGAAAGATTCGGAATTGAAATAAGGCTGTAAACATTAAGGGAGATAATATATAAAGGGAAATAACTTTAAATTAACCAAAACAATTGTCCTTATGGGGGCGTTGTCGGCCTTGTTGACTGTGACTGTGGAAAGATTCGAAATTGAAATAAGGCTGTAAACATTAAGGAAGATAATAATAATATAAAGGGAAATAACGTTAAATTAACCAAAACGATTGTCCTTATGGGGGGCATTATCGGCCTTGTTGACTGTGGCCTTGGAAAGATTCGGTGTGAAAATAACACTGTAAAAAATCAAGGAAGACAATAAAGGGAAATAACACAAATTAACTGTGGCTGTGGAGAGATTCTGTGTTGAAATATGGCCATATAAAACAAGGGAGACAATAAGGTATAAAGGGAAATAAATTTAAATAAACTGAAGTGATAGACAGCTTGTTGACTATAGCTGTAGAAAGGCATTGAAAACGGGCTATACAAATCACGCAAGACAAAGTTTAAAGGAAATTAACCTAAATTAACTGAAGTGATTGTCGGTCTTCTAGATTGTAACGGCAACGATGGGAAGATATACTGTTAAAAATAGGCAGTAAAATAAATCAAGGAAAGTAATGACTATTAAACGTTCCTTAAAAGAAATAAAATTTCTAGGTGGAAATAAAATAACTAAAAGAAACAAATTAAAAAGGATTAATTGTAGGCATTGCAATTTCAAATGAACGCAGGTATACGTAGGGCTGATGGAAATGATATTAGTTGAAATTAACGGAATAAAAAAGTGAAGATAGTACTGATTTATTTTAAAACGTAAATATCGTCTTGTATGTTTTTAATATCTAAATACTTAACTAAAATGTAGAAATTAGAAAGTTAAAAGAGATTCCATTGTGACTAATAGGTTTATCTTCAAATTTTCATTGTGCATTAAGACGTTTATAATTTCGAGTTATTTTTATGCTTGTTTATTATTAACATTTTTAAAAGAGATGGTAACTAAAATTAAAATGAACCAATGCACTAAAGTTATATTTGATAAAAACCCACCCACCCACCCACTCAATATAGGGTATTGTGACCAAGGGGAGTTTAGTAGAAAACTAATATAGTCAAATACGTCTAGACTTTTTAAGCACTAAAAGCTGTTTGCAACCATTATAACAACACCAAAATGACCAAACCATTATGAATAAGTAAACCTTGTTGTTGGTCCTAAAAAGGACCTTGATAAAAATGCTTTCAGATGTGATATTTATCAGTCTGCATGCCAGCACTTCCGCCTAATTAATGCCGTCTGCTGTTGCGAATCGATGACCTTTTACGCCGTCGACCGTCCGACCGGCTTCTCCTTCGCCGGCTCCGGCTTCTGCTTCTGCTTCTTCTTTTGCTCCGATGGCGCTTTCTGGGACGGCTCTGGCTTCTTCTTTTTCTATGCTTGCGGAGAATATCCCCGATGGAACCCTTCAACCGGAAACGCAGGGTCCGCTTGACTCGGACGATGTAGCCGCGCTCGACCCCTTTGCTGATCGCCTTCTTGATGCTGGCTTCTATGTCCCTCGGGTGGATGTCGCTCAGAGTTTCATCGTTGAGGAGGTGCGTCTTCAGCACCCCGAACGTCACGCCGTCGGGAGAGTTGATGTTCCGGATAGCTTCCAGGATGATTTTATCGCACACGCCCCGGTGCTCCGCCTCGGGCTTGGGGTCCGACGAGGTCCCTTCCTTTCCATGGCGGGCGGCCTCTTGCTCTTCGTCATCTTCCTCGTCCTCGGCGTCTTCTTCTTCCTCTTCATACGCGGCCTCGGGTTCTTGGGCCATGATCACGTGACTCGGTGATGTGACGTCACTATAGCGCTTGTGCAATCTACGAGGGAAAGCAGGTCAAACTTGTGCAACGTTTCGCGATGCCAGGCCGTACCTGCGCGCGAACCTCCAAGAAAGCCGGGTACATTAATTTAAAAGTTGGCGCGCTAAAAATAGAAACTGTGCTAAAAATAGATCCGCCTTGACAAGAAGAAAGCAGCTGGATTGGCTAATTAAAAGGATTAAAGTCGAGACACTGCAGAGTTAGACTATTAATCTCCGTGTTGATAACTTCGGGGCCATAAAGACAAAATACTGTGTTTAAAAATAGCCAACAATGTAGTCCCTTGCGTTTTTTTTTCAAAAACACTAATCGAACAAGCGCAGTTAAAGAATCAGGGTTTAATGAGACTTTAGCTTTGAAATTGTCATACAAAATACTCATTTAATAAAATAAATATATATTTAAACACTAGATTGAGTTGAATTTATCAATTTTTTTTCATCTATTAAATCTTATATTTATATTAAAAAAAAACCTTCAGACATTCAACCTTAAAAGTTGCCCTTTAGAATTATGACAAGATATATACGTGTACATTGCACCAAATTGTTTTCTTTTGTTGTTTAGAGCGAATATTTGTAACAATATTTGGTCAAGTAGATGAGTTGAATTCAGGGCCGGTAACTGGAAGGTGAACAATGGGGTGGATTATAAAAAGTCGGTTACCTCCCTTTATATGTATGTCTCAACTTGTATGGTAGACGAAAGTCATCTGTTGTGTAGTAACTATGTTCTGTTGTGATATGTAAAAAGTTAAACTATGACGAAGAACCACATAGATCTATATCTATATCCCAGTCAAGTTTTTTTTAACAGAATTAAGTTAAAAGTAAAAATTGCTTTTCATGTTTGAGGTTTTACTAGCAAAGCATTATTTCAAATATAAGCTGTTGTGCTTGTTTTTCTATTTAAAAAAAAAATTGTTGGAAATCTGACTAAATACATAGGCCACGTGGTAGATAGTTAAAACTGTGTGGTTGGATTGTAGAGCATACGGGTGTCACCCAGTGCGGCACTTAATGGTGTCACCCCCCCCAGAGGCGTTGCGACCCTTACCGGGGACAAACTTTCAAGTTTTCTATTTGCACCCCCCCCTCAAGTTTTCGATTTGCACCCCCCCCCCCCTCAAACTTTCGATTTGCACCCCCCCTCAAGTTTTTCTCTCTATATTTTGCCATTTTTTGCCTTGGTGTCACCCCCCTAAATGGTGTCACCCAGTGCGGTCCGCACCCCCCCCCCCCCTTGCTACGCCCCTGCGACTGCTAACTCGAAAAAATCGAGTTCGAATTCCAGGTTCGTGTCAGTAGCACATCCCTGCATCCACCCAGTTCTGAAGTGAAAGTAAAGGCGGCTGGGAACATTATTGTCTCGTATGTCGAGGTAACCGTCAGGTTCGAAAGGATACTTTACTTATTTAGTAGATTAAGTGTGAGATGTGTGAGATATGTGTAGGTGTGTGGGTATATGTGTGAGATGTTTGGGGGTATAATGTGTTATATGAGTAGGTGTGTGGGTACAAAGTGTTATATGCTTAGACGTCTGTGTGTGTGGGGGGGGGTGGGGGGAGTACATGGGTGTGATTATTATTTGCGTGTTTTTAATAACTTGAATATAACCATGTAAACTAAGCAAAGTATTTTTTCTGACTAGATCTAAATAACCAAAGACGCAAATGAAAAAATCTTGACTTTACACATGAACTAATAATTACTTTTGAAAATGTATAAAAAAAACACACGTTATATAATAAAATCGAAGTGTTTTTTAAATTATTTCATATTTTTAATAAAATATTATCTAATAAAGTTTTTTTTTTTGCATGATAGCTACATTCGTAAGCTACATAAAGGAGGCCTACACTGAATTCCCTCTAGCAATTCATAACATGAACAAGTGTGGGATATTTTAGAGGTTAGCTTTGTTTTAATAACTGTTGTTTTTATTCTAAACAACAGAGAGTGTTTAATTTGTGTCAATTTGTTTGATTAAAAACCCATATGTATTAGTCCATGAAATGATTTAAAAAAAATTATTTGTTTTGAGTGCGCAATTACACGGGTAGTTATGTATGGTTTTTTTTTGTTATGAAAGCTGCATTTGAAAGGTAAAGGACGTTTATTTTTAGATTATTTGTGCAAAATATTAAATATCAAGTGGGAAAAAATTACACAAGTTAATTTTAAATTTTCGATTTGCGTTGATTAATAGCCAAATGTTATTGCCTATTAACTGGTAGATTTTATTTCAACGAAGACCTGTATTTGGCACATAACTGTGTTTTATCTATTGATAAGGATATTAAACTGTGTTTCTATTTATTGATAAGGATATTAAACTTTTTTAGCTTAATACCGCTTTTTACTTTCTCGTATATACGAAGTATAGAGAAAGTATTGTAATCGTGCAAAATCGTAGATCCGTATCAATTTTTGGGCGATTTCCGATAACCGGAAGTGGTACTTTTTCTACTTTGAATTTTTTAAAAGCCTATAACTTGAGTACTATTTCAAATAGATAAATGAAATTTCACATGTAAGTAAAAGATCTAATTGTCTACCTTCTGTCAAATTTTGAGTAATTTCCGTTGACCGGAAGTAGTAATTTACGCTACTTCCGATTTCTCAAAAAACTAATGTAAATTTTTAAAGTACTAATAATATTGCGCACTATTATGCACTTTTTTATTTGGCGTTCACTTGGTGTGCAATTTTTTTTGTCTACGAGATTTTATTCTATTTTTAAAAGTTTAAGTATTTAAAATGGATTAAAAATCATGTCTATAGCCCGAGCTCCAATCCCCTGTTATTTTGTATAAGAATATTCGAGAAAGTTTAGTGGAGATCAGTCCCGGTTTATTTTTTAAATTTTAAAAATCTACCTGAAGTTCTAGCGCGTTTTCTAGTACGTCCGCACAAAGAAGCTATGAAGGGAACCGTAATTTATTCTCGCTCTTGAACTGCATTCTCCAACGAAAGCAGTCAAACGAGGCCGACGTGATATGGCCGGTAAGTCGGATGCGGTCTACACAGAACGAGACACTGAGATGAACGCCGAGCGCCATTCCAGCCGCGATAACCTTCTCACAGAAGATGATATCTGCAAAGCCATCCGCTCCCTAAGAGATGCAGCCGGGTCGACCTACGTCCAGATCAGAAACTACCTCATCTCCAACAACGACAACCTCCGCGATATCCCGCCTAAACAACTGGATGCCGGCATCAAAAGGGCGGCCATTCGGGGAATCGAAGCAGGGACGATGGCGAAAAGCAAGAACGGGACGCGTCTGAAGCTCTCCAAAGGAAAAGACGACGACGACAGCTCAAAGAGGATGAGACGGCGCCGAGGACGCAGCAGACGGCGACGCGGAAGGTGCCGAGTGCACCGGGTGTACCGACCCCCCTGCAGCCGGTACAAGAAAAGATGCTGCCGGCGACGTCGACGATGCCGTGCCACCGTGCACCGGTCAAAGCGGCCCGTGTGTTCACGGTACAAAAAAGCCTGCTGCCGACGCGTCCGGCGACGATAGATCTTTCACGATCGAATTTTTATATCAAGGTCCTTTTAAGGACCACCAGTGGTTTTACCTTTCTAAAGGTCTTGGTTTTAAATGGTCTAGTCTTTTATTACAGTGAATAGAAACATTTGATTCTTTAAAAAAAAAAAAAAAAATAAAAAAAATAAAAAAAAAAAAAAAAAAAAACAAAGAAAAAAATTATTTAAAAAATTAATTACAAATTAAAAAAAAAAAAAATTAAGTATGGCATTAGATAGTTATGATACAAAACTTTGAATATTTTTTAATTTTAAAAATTAATTTAAAAGAAAATGAATAATATAAACATTTAGGTCTAAATACTAAATATGTTAAAAAAATTAATTAAACGCCTAATTAGATAACTAAGAATAAAATTATAAAATTGAAAATATCCGCGCACATAACTTTAATTGTTTTAAAAAAAATCATTGTAGTCATTTGGTAGAGTTGCCACATTGGCTTATGAAAGCTAATTATTTTAAAAAATATTTTAGCCTACATTCGCTTAGTTTTACTGCGTGTGACTGTCCTTAATTCAACACAACATCTTAAGCTTGAGCTTAATATCTCGGCAGAATTCCTTCATATTTCCGGCTGCGATCATTTCTCCTTGAGACTACTAGCCACACCCCTCCGCCCCCCCCTCTTACCCCCTGTCTAGACAAGCTGGCCATTCCTACCCACAATTCAATTTAGTTTTTGGGTATAATTTCTGACAGACATTTGAGGCGGGTCAAAGTTTAACGCTGGCAGAGTTCCGGTAGGAGACGGGGATCTTGGGTCTTAGTTCCATGACGTCTAGGCAATATTTCGTTGTGTGTTTGTGTGTGTGTGTGTGTGTGTGTGTGGTGTGTGTGTGATGTGTGTGTGGTGTGTGTGGTGTGTGTGTGTGTGTGGTGTGTGTGTGGGTGAAAAGTGTGTGTGTGTGTTTTGGATGAGGGTGAGTGAGGGGGTTGTTGGAGTTCTTGAGACATATTTCAATGTGTGAGGCGTGTGCGTGGGGTGGGGAGGGGGGGGGGGGGAAGAGGGCGTGTGTCTATGAACGTCTGAGAAATATTGTATTGCGTGTTTGTTTTTAGGAAGGGGTACTTGTGTGTGTGTGTGAGTGAGTGTGTGTGTGAGTGTGTGTGTTGGATGAGGGTGTGTGAGGGGGTGTTGGAATTCTGGAGACATATTTCAATGTGAGGAGTGTGCGTGGGGGGGGGGGGGGGAGAGGGCGTGTGTCTATGAACGTCTGAGAAATATTTTATTGCGTGTTTGTTTTAGGGAGGGGTACTTGTGTGTGTGAGTGAGTGTGGGTGTGTGGGTGTGTGTGTGTGTGTGTGTGTGGTGTGTGTGGGTGTGTGGGTGTGTGTGAGTGTCTGTGAGGGGGGATGTTACAGTTCCCGAGACATATTTGAATGTGTTAAGGGTGAG